GGAAAAAAATAAAATAGAAGGAATTCATTTCAGATAACCAAAGTAAAAATTGCCTTTGATTCAGAAAAGCTGAATTCTGGTCTTATTGCCCTGATCTATTACCTACCTTTAACCTCCTAGAACTGGACAAATGACCTTGTAGTATAACTTGTAAAGTATGAGAACAAATAAGAAGCCATTTCGAAATAGTTCAAAGGAAACATTTAAGATTTTCTCAGTTACTTTCTGCCGAAGACTTAACAATGAAACAATTTTAATTTGATCATTTCCTTCCATCTGGGTTTCTGTGGTCCTCCTTTATTGCTCATTAATAAGCACCTTGCCACTGATAATAACTATTAATGTTTCCTGGCAATTGGTTTACCATTCCACAAGGATGGGAAGCAGGCTTCTGATTCTGGGTTCAACATCTTGGTGAGTGACTTGATTAAGTTAGATGCATACCAGTGGGGCTTACAAGAGCATTCAGGGACTTCTTTGATTGGAATAAAAACCTTATAGCTTTCAATTTCTGTTCATATATGTTAACTCACTTCCCTGGTTCCAGGGTTCCTGCTCTCAGGCTGGACTCTGAGGCTCTTCTCCAGTCTGTAAAACGGAGATAACACTACTTTCTTTATCTCACAGGGTGTTCTACAGTTCAAATGACAACACATGCATGAGCATGCTTTGCAAACCATAAAGCTCCGTGGAAATAGAAACTGTCCTATTAAAATAACATGAAAGATGAGTTAACAGAGGCTGCGAGATATTCCTGGCCTTCTAAGGCAACCAGACAGGCAACACAGACTTGGATTCCACCATTTCTCCAAAAGAACTGGGTAAGAAATGAAGATCTGTCATTCTTTTTGGTTTCCAGCAGCTGTACTCCCTGACCTGTATTTTGAATACTCCCTCCCAAGCCAACCAACATCCACCCCTCTTGGAAGCTCTCCCCACCTCTCATTTCTTAAACTGAAAATGCTACCCCCTCTTCTGGCTTCTCCTGTGAAGAGGAATGGGCTGTGACCTGAGCCCTAGCGGTCTTCTGCCTGGTGCCTGGGACCACAAGCCAGAGAAATGAAGAGGCTGATTGATCCAAGTGGCTGCAGGGGTGAAGTCTGCCACCCAGTGTTATGGTGTGGCACTGAGACCCTCTGTGGAGCAGTTTGGGTGTTGTTCCAGATGTCAATATCCCATCCTGGCTCTCTGAACCCCTGGGGAGTCTGTGAATCACCCAGTGCTTCTCAAGCTGCAATGCTCGTACAAATCACCAGGACATTAAATTAAATCTAGGTTGAGACTCAGTGGGTCTGAGTGGGCTGAGATCCTGATTTCTGACAAGCTCCAGGGTGATGCTGATGCTGCAGACCTATGGACCCCACTTTGTGAAGTAAGGCTTCACTCAATTTGTTTTCAGTTTAAACTAACATTCTGAATTATGTTTATGGATTTTTATCATTAAAAAAATCAGGAGATAGGCCCTGTACATAAAAATATACCAAACACACTCAAAGGAAATTTTCTAATTTTTCTGAAATTATATGTGAGTTAAACTTGTGCTGAGGGATATTTTATTGTTCTGTAACAGCTATGGAGTTAACGAAGACAGAGTTGACATATCGTGAAACTGGATTTGGAAATTCCTCTATGAGGCAGTTACAGGTGCATAGTTAGAGGGGGTGCAGAAGGGTGAAAGAGTCAGGAATAACTTCTGTCTAGATTACTCCCCTGGAGGCCTCCCTGATGGCATGAGGGGCTAAGTTTCAGCACTATGAAGCTATCTGTAGCCACTGCAGCAAAGTTTGATCCCCGGCCAGGGAGCTACCACATGGCTCAGCAGACCTCCCCTGTCTTACCCACTGCTCCCCTCAGCAGTGTATTTCAGTCAATCTGCCTGTTCTGCTCCCCACTCTGTCTTTGGTGAATCCTCTTACTCTCCCTGCACCTCTGGCCTCCACCCCAGCTCTTGTATGCATAAATAAATAAATCTTTAAAAAATAAATTACTTCCCTGGAATTTCTTCCATTTACACTCCTTGTTGCTTTAAATAATTGAAGCAAAGAGACAAAGTCTAGCTAAAGGCAGACGCAGAGTGCTCCTCCCCAAACTGTGGCAATAGATGAGTGTGCTGGCTCCAGCTGCCATAGCAAAACATCACAGATCTGGGGCTTAGACACAGACATGCACTCCTCACAGTGCTGGAGGCTGGGAAGTCTGAAATCCAGCACACTCGGTCTGAATGCCAGCAGTTCTTGGTGAGGGCCTCCTCTTCCTGGCCACCTCCTTGCTCTTTCCTCACACAGTAGAAGAGGGCTCTAGTGTCTCATCCTCCTCTCAGAAGGACCCTAATCCTATTGAGGGCCCCATCACCATCACTTTACTGAAACCTCATCACTTCCTGATGGCCCCACCTCCTAACACCATCACATTGGGTTCAAGCTAAGGATTTTGGGAGGACACATACATCCAGTCCATTATGACTAGATAAATATGCTCCGAGAGGCACCCTTTAGCTTCAGTGTGGGTAGTCTGGCCAGAGTTCACTGCTGCGAGTGCTGCTAGTCACTACAAATGTGCCCACGGTGACAACTGGAAGCTGGACAATGACACACTTTGTCAGTTAGAGAAGCAGGGGCATGGCAAGCGCTACGATGCCATGGAAAGTACCTTAGACAAAAATTGGATGCCCTCGCTCCAGAAAACAAACACAGGAAGTTCAAAGGTAGCTCATAACCCAAGAGAATAAAGCAAATGCCTTTATGGAGGACCCAAGAACCCAAGAGTGGCTTGAACACATCACTACAGATTTCCTCTGGGCGATGACGGCATCTAGAGACTTTGGTGTTGCTTTCTTGGCTGCACCTGCCTTTCCACTCAGTTCCACCCTTCCTTAGGTGGAAAGGAAGCATGGAGATTTTTATGGAGATTAATTTTCTTTTATGGAGATTACATTCCTTTTATGGAGATTACATTGTGTAACAGGACCTCTCATCTCCCAGCTGCAGGCTTCATTTGCAGTCCTCTAAATGCTGCCCTCTGGGCTCCCCCTTGGCCTGCTTGCACTCCAGAGAGAATGTTCCACCCTTGATAAGTTGGACCTGGGGAAAGGTCTGTGCATGCCCCAGAAATGGGCTCAAGGCCATGTGGAAGGAGAATTTGGGATCTCTTGGCCCTGAGTGTGGTCTAGAAGTGGGGGTTGGGTAGGCACAGTATGGGGGAGGGGGCCTCACTGACTCTTGGTCCATGGGTGGTGTGGCTGAAGGAGGCCATGGTGGGCATTTGGGGCTGCAAGGGTCCTAGGGCTGTCTCCCCCTGTGATGGCCTAAGGCCAGTACTGTTCTTGGTTTGGGGAGTTCTGGGCTCCAGTTCTGGTGAGTTAAGGGATTTCAAGGGTCATTGTAACTACATTCCATATAGAATGCAAGTGTGGGAACAAATCTACGATTGGTCTCATTCGTCCCACTTTATACAAAAAATGGATGTTGAAAACTATGAGTAGCACAGTCCGCATCTAGACTTCCTCCTCTGTGGGAAATGCCCCAGGCAGACCCTCCACCTCACTTTATGAGGTAACCGCAGAATCACCTACCTATAAACTGCTCTCCCTTTTGCAGAGAAAGTGTGATTGAATTCACCAAAGTTAAAAGTGCGAATGTGATGCCACTGTGCTAACTGTAGGATCTTGTTTCCTGTCTGGGTCATTATCTATTGGCTACATAGCAAATTCCCTGCCAGTCCAGCAGCTTAAACACAATGACTATTTTGCAGCTGTGGGGCAGGAACCTAAAAGTGGTTCTGCTGGGCTGTTGGCTCAAATTCTCTCATGAGGCTGAGGTCAAGATGTGCACCAAGATGGCAAGTCCTCAAGAGGCTCTATAGGATGGCAGGATCCCCCCAAGTCATCCATATGTTGTCTTCAGGCCTCAATTCCCACTGGTTGTTGGATGGAGTCTTAGTTCATCATGGCTTCCATGTAGACCCCTCCATAGGGCTGTTCTTAGCAGGGGGTTACCCAGAGTGGGTGATAGAGAGAGGAGTAGAAAGTGGTAGGAGGGAGCAGGGGAATCAAGGAAACCAGTCTAGAGGGAATTGGTCTTTTGTAGGCCAATTGTACAAGTTATAAGTTATTCCTGCTGCTGTGTTCTAGTCATTGGAAGCAACACACAAGGTCTGTGTTTATCCTTAAGTGGAGAGGATTGCAAAAGGCATGAATACAAGAGACAGAGATCCCTGGGGACCATTTTTAGAGGCATGTGGAACCCACTACATTATCCCATAGAAATGAGGATTAGAGCATCTGACACCCACTCTCACAGCGTGGACTGGCTGGTGCATCCATTTGTCATCCACTCACACCTACAGAGCAAACACTGCTTGGGTATTTATGGACAGCAAGGATGCAGCTGACAGGTAAGGCGCCCTTTTGAGGATTCACACTCCAGTGGGAGACCCCTGAAAATAACATTCTTGACATCAAGGGCAATGGCAGAAGGAAGCATAACAGCCTGGGGAAAGTTTTTCAGAGGAGATGTTGTCAGAGGTGGAGAACCCCATAGAAACCTAGGGTGTGCTCTGGGCAGAGGGGAAAGCTGGACAAGGCCTGTAGACCGAGGTGTGTCCTGCACTCTGCAGAGAGGGCCTGCTGCCTGGATGGCTGGCTGAAGGGAAAGTGTGGGAGGAAGTGGGGTGGGTGTACGTAGGGGTACAGGTGGGTACAGGGAATGTATAGAGAAGGTGTAGGGATTTCAGAGGGTCAGGGGTGTATAGGGAACATAGGGGGATTCAGGGAGGGTGTTCACAGGTACAGGGGAGGTGTGGCAAATGAAGCCACAAACTAACTGGGACGTACATCACCAAGGAGCAAAGAAGTCTGGATTTCATTTTAAGGATGACTGAGATATAGTAATTTTCTAATGAAGGAAGTGATCAGATTTCTCTTAGAAAGATCCTTCAGTAAGAATTGGAGAGAGGAGACTAATTAGGCGGCGATGAGAATACTCAGGAAAGATGTGATGAGTTTCTGCACAAGTGTTTATTGGGTACCTCTGGGATGCCCGGCATCGCTAGGTACTGGGTCAGGTCTAACCAAAACAGAACAGGTTCATGCCCTCCCTTGGAGATTGCCTCAGCCATTCAGAGGGGGAGAATCACTAGGATTTTTTGTGAGTTGGGGGAATGGTGGCGTCTTCCAGGTTTCCAGCTCAGTGGACAAGCGGGTAGAGGAAGAGGCAGCTGGGGAAAGGTCCTGGATGAGGTGGGGCGGCTGGTGTTCAGACAATGGAGCCTTCACTGGAGAAAGGGAAACGCATCTTGGAAAGGAACATGGAGATGGCTGGGTGCAGTTCTGTGACTATCCCCACCACTCCTACCCTTTTTTTAGCCAAGAAGTTGAGTTGAGAAAAGTTAAAAAATTCAAATTCTCACAGCAGAGCTGGGGTTGGAACTCACCTGGAAGTTAAAGTTGGTATGAGTAAACAACATGCCAACTTGCATTCTCCACCCCACCCCCATGGTGAACATGAACACCAGACATGTGGGAATCTGAGTTACATGATATTAAGAACCCCAGTTTATGTTTAAAGAGGGTGTAATATTGACCTTGGGTTGTTATCACGATGGCCAAATAATTTATTTTCAATGCCCTCCAGCCAAAGGTCATGAGGAGCACACTTGTAGTTAAACCATTTGGATTTATACCCTTTACACAGGGGAAAATGCATGCCATGGAAACCTAGGTGTCTCAGTAACAGGATGTTAGAAAATAATGTGAAAGAATGTGGGCCTCTGGCAGCTGATTGGGGGAGGCTTTGCTGGCCTTAGGTGAGGTCAGGAAACTGGGTGATTCTATGGATTTACATTCTTGCAGGTGGACAGGGAGGCCAGAGGAGAGTGACTGCAGCCGTCATCACCTCCCATGCAGGATGGCTAGTCTTTGGTCTTGTGGACAATTGCATGTTTTGTCTGTGTTTAGACATGATCAGAGTGGCTTGTTCTTGTGGTCCATCCTGGTCAGAGGGGTCTTGTCTGTTGATGTTCTGTGAAATTGTTTATGCTCAGTTAGGAGCTTATGCTCCGTTAGGAGATGCCAAGGCCAGGTGAGTGCCAGCAGCTCTCCCTTGGACTGGTCTAGCACAGGGTTGGTGTACTCACCCAGCCACCAGCGCTGGACCTTTGTCACAGCGAGGCAGGCTGGGGCGTTCTGGGGCTGAGACATTGGGAGGAATCTGAAGGACACCTGTCCTTTCAGGCCACACTGACCTGTCTCTTCTCAGTCCAGGCACTCCATGAGGTCATATCCGTGAAGTCAGGGGTATTCCAGCCTAAGGAAAACTTCAGATACAGCAAAGGGGGAGTCCATCCCAGCCTCTGCCCTTGCCTCCTTTCTGTGGTTAATGAGTAGTGAGCACCTAATGTGTGCCAGACCTGGGCTAGATGCTCTGGCACTCACCACCTCCTGGAAAAGCCACACAAGGGAGCAACCATGCTGACAGTGGGGTAAAAGAAATCAATGCCAAGGGTCACTGATCTGATCCCACTCCACAGATTTTTAATTTATCAAGATACCATTTGGATTGTTGATGATTTAATGCGCAGTAGTTTGGAAAATGTAGGCATACTCCACCACCCTTACAGTGGGGTCCCTCCCGGCACACACTTGTAGTTAGACGTGAAACCTGGCACGGAACACCAGCGAGTTTACTGATCCTAAGAAAAGAGTCAGGGGAGCGGGGGAGGTGGTTGGTGGTGCCCTGTGAAAATCCTCACATGCGAGAGTATCCGGTCCTGATCAGGTGTCATAAACTCTCCTGAGCTGTCTCCTCCAGAATGGCGCTGATGCTTCCCAGCCGCCGCGGAGCTAGTGTCACGACGCCGAGCTTCCCCGGGGAGAGGGTGCTGACCAGCAGCCACAAGCAGCGGGGTGCACAAGCGAGGCGCGCGCTAGTTTGTCCCTTGGTGCGTTAGCGAGTTTGCACGCCAGAGTGCTCACGTGGGCGAGTGTGCAGCGGTGTGCACGCGCAGGGCCGCCGGTAAGCCGCGTTTCCGTTAGGGGAACCCTGGCCGCCACCCTCGCGGCTGCAGACTCGCGCCCGCGCCCCCTCCCTTCTCCGTCCCCTCCCCGGTGGCTCCGCTCGACCCTCCCGCCCAGTCCCCTCCCCCGAGGCTCTCACTCGCCTCCTCCCTCCCTCCCGGTGCGTGGCCGCCTCCGGGAGCTCCGCGCTGCGCTCCGCGCGCGATCTCCTCCAGCGGCCGCCTCCGCGCGGGCAGAGCGCGGGGCACCCCCCAGCCCCCGGCGACGATGAGCCACTGCGCGGGGGTAGCGGAGAGCAGGTGAGTGGGGTCGGGGCTGGGGGTGGGGAGGGAGAAGGGTCGAGCTGGGCGGGCGGCCGGGCCCGACGTGGCCGCGGCGAGGAGAGGCTCTGCCCCTCCAGCACCCCCACCCCGGGCTCTGCCCGTGCCCTGTCCGGGCGCGGAGGGCTTCGCCGCCGTGCGGTTCCCCTTCCAGGCCGCGCAAACAAAGCGCTTTCTGCGGCGGCGAGGGCCGGCGCGCGCTGGGCCCCCCGCGCCCCGCGGCGGCACCTGGGCGGGCGGGGCGGCGGCGCGGGGCCGCGCGCAGGTGCCCGGGCGGAGGCGGGGGCGCGCAGCTCCGAGGCCCCGCGCGCCGGCCCGGGAGGCGCGGCGGGAGGCGGCGCTGTTGCCTCGGGCTCGCGCTTCCCCGCCACTTCCGCCGCGGCCGCGCTTCCCGCGCCCGCCCCGTGCCCGCGGCTCTCCCCTCGCCCGCGCTCGGGCCGGAGTCCCGGAGCCCCCGGGCCCTGCCCGGCCGGAGCGGGCCCCGCGCCTTGCCCCTCGGCCGCCTCGCCCCGTCCGCGCTCCCCGCGCCTGCAGGTGGCGGGACCGGGCCGCGTGGGCTGCGCTGGTCCCCTGGCCCGGAGCCGCGGGCGCGGAGGGGGGCGGCGCGCGCCCTGGCGTCCGGCGGCGCCTGGGGCCGCGAATACCCGCCTAGCTGTCCTCACGCGCCCCGCGCCCCTGGGTCTGAGCGCTCGGGAGCCCCGCGCGCAGTGGACTTGCAGGGCTGCCCCCTGGGGTTTGCTGGACAGGGTCTGCGATCTGTCAGGCCCGCCAGTTGGCGGTGTGTGCAGGGGAGGTGTATTTCCAGTAATCACTGTCTTTGCCAACGCAAGGACCCTCCCCTCCCCCCAGAGTGGCGCTGGCACAGTGCCTTAAGCAATGCAAGAGTGAAATCATCTTTGCTTGTAACCAAGGCCTCTGACATAACTGCCCATAGACCTTTAAAAGGAGCTGCCTTTTACAAGGACTGTTTATTAAGAGCGGCTTTGGGATGCTTGAACGGCGGGGTGGAATCCCTGTCAACTGCAAAAGGGGCCTGTTGGCCTCTGCGTGTGGTGTTTCATCAAAAGACCCACGGTGGAGGTTTGTGAAACTATCCTTTACCCTCTTGCAGAAAGTTAACCTAAAGTGCAGAAACGCTCAGCAGAGCCTCAGACTGCTGAGAAAGGAGTTCTGGGACCGTCACCGCTGCCAAACAGTTTTCTGCAGGAACTAGAGGGAGCTTGCCAAGGTTTCAAACCTTCATGACTTCAGTTTTTTTGTGGATCTTTAGACATTGGGCCCAGCTTCTCTCAGGAGGGAGGGAGGATTTATTTTTTTCCTGTCCATTAGGAAAACACTGTTGCAATCAGGAAGATAGCCTAGAAAAGCCTGCGCGATTTCGTGCTTTAGGAGGGTCAAGATAACCTCTCCAAGGACATAAACTGACTCCACTTCGAGTATCAAAAACCTTTCTTTCACTCAACAGCAAGACCTGTGAATGAATCATCTTATAGCTATGAGATGACCTGAATCATCTTATAGCTAAAAGAAAAGTTCCCCCCCCAAAACCAGAGAGGAAATGAATTGTCAGTGCATTGGTGAAGTTAGGGTTTGCTTACATCAACTTTGCTAACTGAACTTCTCCACTTAGAGCCAGGACAACTGACCCTCCAGGTGTTACTAAGATGTGAGCCCTGACCCCACCCCCACCCTCCACCCCTCCCCGTCAGAATTTGCTAGTCTGCCCTCTGATCACTGGCCCATTTGAGGAGTAGCTGCTAGTGTGGCAGCTCTGGGTCAGAGAAGGTGCATTCTCAGTAACCTAAAGCACCACACGTTTCCTGCTGTTGCTTGTGATTTTTAGCAGCTGCATAAGTAGGCCACCCTGATACTTAGGTAGTTTCACTTTTTTTTTTTTTTTTTTGCCGTTTAAACTTTATTTTTGATGCTGAGGGATAGGATCTTTACTTTCTGTGTAACTAGCATGTTTCATCAGTCATTTATGTGTCCACTGAATGTTTTTTTCCTGTGCAAACTACCAAACAATGCCTTGGATGTCAGGGATGTGGACTCCTTAGTCCCTTTCTCATACTCTCTTTTTAGTTCCCAGCGCTGCCCCGACTTGTAAGCAAAACATAGCAGAGCAGTGCAGTTAGTCCAGTTATCCAGGTGTCTGTCAGACATTGTTGGCTCAGGCTGGGAGGAGAGAAGGATTCCGTTCTACCGGGCTGAGCCATGGGAGTCTCCCTTACCCCATACGTTGCCAGGCCAGAGAGCTTGCCATTTCACCCCTGCTGTCCCCTCCCTGCTGGAAATGTTCCAGCTGCCTCCCTCTTCCCTGCCAATCTAGTTCCAGCATTTTCAGTCCTGGCCCCATCCTCTTTGGAGCCCATTGCACAGAGATGTCATTGACAGTTACAAGAAGTAAGAGGAGTGAACCCAGAAACTGTCCCTCTAATTCCTGCCACCTCATAGCTGCCTTTAGGCTGCACCCTCACCATACCTCTTCACTTGCCTCCTGGCACCCAGGTCATTCTCCATTCACAATGCAGCCTGCAAAGCTAAAGCTCTAATACTTTCCTTTTCCTTTCCTGTGATGCTGAAAACCCTTTGGGTGTGTGGACACAATCATATAGAAAACACAAGCATCTTCCATGTGTCCAACTTGAGAGATCATTGCAAAGTGAACACATCTCTGTGACCACCATCCTTACTATCATATCCCTCTCCCCCAGAGGAACCAGAGATTGGCTTTCCTGTTTGTAAACTTTCTAAGAGTGGACTCAAATAGCGAATGGTTTTTGTGTCTCGCTTCTCTTGTGGAATGTTATATTGTGAGCTGGAGCCTCATGATTGTGTGCATGCGGTTCATTGGTTCTCCTTGCCACGGCACTCTGTTATCTCTGTCTCTGACTCAGACTCATTTTATTCATCCATTTGACTTTTGATGAGCCTGCAGTTGTTTCCAGTTTTTGCTTCTTACAAATCTGGTGCAGTGACTCTTTTGATACTTAAAGACCTACCTGTTTCACTGTTATTTTTCCTGCTATTGTAATTGACAGAAGGAGAGGCTCAGGGGTGGGTCAGCTCAGTGGATTTCCCATCTGTGACAGTGCTGAGCACCTCCAGAAGCACTGAAGACTGTGCTTCAACCAGAGACCTGGAAGTAGAAGACAAAAGCCAGGGGATGAATTCTGTGACGGGTACACTGATTGGAAGCTGTGGTCTTTGGAGAATGCAGAAAAAAGCTATTGGGTGATGATGGGAAACCAGCCAGACTCAGGAAATGTCCCCTGGTGGGGCAGGATGCCCACTTCTCTCCCTTCACCTCTCCCCACCTTCCCCTTGAGTCCTGATCACCCAGGACCTGGTCCTAGAGGGCTTGCTGCTGTGGAGGGATGCGGTGGCCAGCTTCCAGCTTGGTTCTGAATGAGGCAGCAGTTTCCTTGGAAGTTGCCCTAAAGTCACCTAGCCTCCAGAGGCTATTTCTCATCTAGTACTACAACTTTTTTTTTTTTAAAGATTTATTTATTCATTTACACAAGAACCGGGGTACACGCCAGATGTGTGGAAGGGTGAGAGGATTCACCAGAGACAGAGCGGGGAACGGAACAGGCAGACTGACCAAAATACACTGCTGAGGGGAGCAGCGGGCAAGACAGGAGAGGTCTGCCGCGCCATGTGGGACCCTCATGGGATCAAACTGGCGCTGCAGAGGCTGCGGGCAGCTTCACAGCGCTGTGCTCAACGGCCTGCGCCACCAGAGGAGGCCCTAGTACTACAACTTCTTTTTGTGTGTGGCCACAGATATATATATATTTTTTTAATTGTGGGACCCTCGCTGGCGGCTGGGGAAGGAACCTGCGCTGCAGAGGCTGTGGGCAGCCTCCCAGCCCAGTGCTCAACCGCTGCGCCACCAGGGGAGGCACCACAGATTTTTTTTTTTTAATTTTTCTTACATTATTCATTTTTGTTCAATATTTGATTTCTCCCCTCATGTGTAGTCCCCATAATTCCCCCACCACCCAGGCACCCATGAACTGTCACCACAGTTCCTTGTGCTCTTCCCTCCCCTGTTTTGACCCCTCTCATTCCGCCTCCCCTGCTATATGCCTTAGCTCTATGGTTTGTCTGCAAATTTTATCTTTTTCCTGATCCTTTGTTTGGTTTCCTTATATTCTTCCTGTAAGTGAGGCCAGCTGATATTTTTCTTTTTCCTCTGACTTATTTCGCTCAGCATAATCCCTTCCAGCTCCATCCATGTTGCTGCAAATGGCATGAGTTTATCTTTTTTGATCGCTAAGCAGGATTCTGTTGTCCAGCACTACAGCTTCTGGAGCATGCCACTGTCTTTTGTGACCTGGGGGACTGAAATTGTCTTTAGGGGAGTACCTGGGTCATTTGGCCTCATCAAAAGCGGTTCTGAGCCTGCAGGTTTTTGGAGGTGTCCAAGGTCATAGCAGTTTCTGGGACTTTCACTGCATTACTTCCTTTGCTCCACTTTCAAATCCTCTCAGGTGGAAACAGACTTGAGTGGTGGCCGCCCAGCCTCCTACGGTTGCTGTCAGTCCATTTGTGACAAAGTCAGTTGCCCCATATCCCTGCCCCCTCCTCGCCCCTGTACTACACATGCCTCCTGCCCTTCCTGGAGCTTGATCACCTCCTTCCTGCTTTAGACAGAAGCAAGCCTCTCTCCGCCCCAGCTTCTTCCTCTCTTGGCCATTCCTGCTTGTTCTTTGTGGTTCAGCTTCAGTCCCACTTCCCGGGAGGCCTTCCCAATTCCTCAGTCTCAGCTCTCTTGTCTCACAGCCCTTCCTTTCCACACAAAGTTCTCGGTCTGAGAGGCACAGAAAGAAGCCTGCGGTTGCTTCCTTCTGTCAGCATGCCTAGCACGTGATGCACACGCGTCTGGTAAATGGATGAATGGAGGAGACACCTAGGGGCCTGAAACTAGCTGTAAGTTTGTGTCAGCTTTATCACTTGCTTTGTGACCTTGGGTGCTTGTTCACGGAACCGCTCCCAGAACCCCAGCTGCCCCTCTGTAAATGATGCATCTGACTCGCAGACCTTGCGGTTTCCTTTCAGTTTCAACTTTTGGAGTCTGGCGGCTAGAGATCCTGTTTGGGGGAGGGAGGCGCTTTGAAAATGCAAGATGGCTCTAGCATTGTGTTTAACCAGCCAAGTAGACTTATTGAGACAATTAAATGAGAGAATAAAGATCTTAAACACCCCAAAGAGAAATAACAGGAGTGTTGTTTTCTTCCTGTCTTTTCATTAATTCATCAAAGACTCTGCCTCAGTGGATCAGAAAAACTGATCTTAGAGCGCACCCCATATTGTTCTAGCGGTCCCCAGACTGTCCCTTGGGACGAGCTGTGCTTAATGGGTAGTAAAGGTTTGGGTGCCAATGGGGAGGACAGTGCCATCACTCTCCGTTCTCTGCCTTGCACACCCAGTTCCAAGGGGTGCCCCAACATAATAGTACTTGTCCATGGGACACCCAGAATTGGGGTGCATGACCTGCAAGGCCACACGGCAACTCAGGGAGTGGGGTGTGTGCTTGATATGCAGGGTGTGCTTGGACACTGCAGGTCTTTCATGCTGGGGAGGCGTGCTGGGTGGGAGACAGCGCAGGGTCCTGAGGAAGCAGGCTTCAGATAGGAAGCAGCGAGAAGCCATGGAAGGGTCAAAATGTGGTCAGGCCACACTGATAGTCACATGAGGGGGACGCAAGAGGGTGAGGCTGCAGACAAGTACAGTGACTGAGGCGGTGACAACCACCCAGCCAAGTGAGAGCCGGTAAGCACGGTTGGTGAGTGTTCAGGGCATGGGCGAAGGACAGTAGGAGTGCTTGGGAGGACTCGGATCAGCTGCTTGAAGAGGAGGAGAGAACAAGAGCTGGCGATGACCTGGGGGCTCCAGGGAAGTGACCCATGAGGGTGCCTGCCAAGGCAGGTCAGGAAGTGTAGGGTATATGAAGTGGGAGAGCTATAATTAAGTGGAACTTGGGAAGAGCCGTGGGGAGGAGGTCAAGATGTAGGATCTGAAGACTTGACCTGGAGGCCAGCAACAGGGCCGTGTGGGGAGTGGGGAGGGTGATCCTGGTCAAGTGCCATCCAGGAGGCTGGGTATGAAGCCCTGGGAGAGAGGAGGGGTCCCTGTGTGTGTGTGGGGGGGTGGAGGCCAGGAGTAGACCAGGTAAGCGGGGTACCTGGGCTCTATGGGGAGTGTCACCTGCATCATCTGGAGAGAGGGCTGGAGTGGCCACTGGGTCTGCAGGCAGGAGACTGTGGCTCCAGCTAGAGAGGTTTGGTGACAGGAGAGCAGAAGCTAAGTGGCTTTTAGTCTAGGAGAGTGTGGGGGTGGGACGGTGGGGACTACTAGTAGAGCTGTTTGCACCAGAAGGGCAGCAGTTGAGGGTGGAACAGCAGGTGCAGGGAAGCCCTGTCCATGCACTGGGGACTGGGAAGTGAGAGCTTTTCATTTCCCAAGTCTGCTGCTCTCCCCCTGACATTTTAGGATGGGGTACTTTCTGGAAAAAGTACCTTTGGCGATTTTGCCTTTTTTTTTTTTTTTTTTTTTTAAGGTTTATTTATTTTTATACAAGAGCTGGGGTGTAGGCCAGAGGTGTGGGGGTGGGTGTGAGAGGATTCACCAAAGACAGAGTGGGGAGTAGAACAGGCAGACGACTGAAGTACACTGCTGAGGGGAGCAGCGGGCATGATAGGGGAGGTCTGCTGCGCATTGTGGGTATCTCTCTGGCTGGCTGGGAATCGAAATGTGCTGCAGAGGCTGTGGACTGCTTCCCAGCACTACACTCAACCTGCTGCACCACCAGGGAGGCCCCGATTTTGCCTTTGTGCCATATAGCATGTACACTGAAGCAGACCAGCTGGTGGAGCCCGCCTCTCATGCAGGCCGCACAGGGACCTCCATCACACTTGCCCTGCTGGTGACTGTAGCTGAGGGAGGAGGCCACAGGGCAGCAGTGAGAGGCTGTGACAGGGGCTGAGGGCTTACAGGGAAGTGGCCAGGGACCTCGAAGACTGAGGCCAGTGATGCAGGTGTCGATGGGATGTGACTCAGGACTGGCTGCCTGGGGGCTGCTGTGAGTCAGCGGTGCTCCTGGGTGTGACTAGCAAGAAGGAAGCCCTATTTATCAGAGTGGTTTGGAGTCAGGCCACAGGTGGAGGGGGCCATTATGGAGGAGAAGCTTCTCTAACCTTCCGGAGAAACATAGTGTGATCATTTTTGGAGATGTTCATAGTTTTTTGTACAAAATTAGTATCAGCTTATAAAACAGTTTTTCTTTTCTTGTTCTAGCGATGATCACAATGCCTCCTCGGAAGAAAAAGGTATAGTAATACTGAGTTATTGAGAAGTTTAACCTATATATTTGCATTTTTTGAAAATGTTTTCTTCATTTATTGACTTAATAGCTTTGTCAGATTTATGCCTTTGCAGACTTACAGAAATAGAAATGTAACTAATGTAACTAATTGTTAGTTTAGGATAATGAGATAGTGACAAATTTTTAAATTTTCCTTGAGGTTATTTTGCAGCAGATTTTCAGAAAAGTAAATTGTAAAGAATTTGGGGCTTTGTAGCTTTTTACAGTGTGAGAGTAGAAAATAAATGCAATTATATCTTATTCCTTTTAAACACTAGGTCTAATGTTCTTTTTAGTCATAGTTAAAATTCAGTACAGGCACACCTTGGAGATATTTCAGGTTTGGTCCCAGACCACCAGTGAAGCAAATATCACAATAATGTAATTCACCCCAAGTTTTTGGGTTCCCAGTGCCATGGAGAAGTTATGTCTATACAGCACTATGTCTGTCACGTGTGCATTCGCACTATGTATGAAACAGCAATGTTCACACCTTAATTAAATGTGATGTGGATACCACCACATACCATGGAAGAACTGTGCCATCACACTTGCTCCCATAGGTTTGCCACGAACCTTCACTTTGTGAAAAATGCATTATCTTTGAAATACGAAAGAAGCGAAGCACAATAAAATTTTCCTGCAAATGTAAAGATTATAGGAGCATCCTCAACGGAGTTCTACAGACTTTGCATATGTGTTAACTATTTTCTTTAATACTGAAATGTTGTCAATTTTAGATACTTAATGAAAATAGCAACATATAATCCTTTCTCCATTCCCTACTCCCCACTCCCCCCACCCCCGGCCCTTGTACCCTCCAGTAACATATAATCCTATCCCTGAAACTGGGTCAAATAAAAGCTTTCATTGAAGAAATAAATCAGGTCTTGGTCAGGGGTTGGTGTGGACTGCTGAGGGTTAAATTTCCCTTTGGGACTTTGTTATTTGTTACTAATATACATATTTCCTTCTCTCTTTGTCATTCTGTGGCTGAGAGCCCCTCTGGAGGGTGGTTCTGGGGGCTACTTTCAATTTAGGTGTTAACCTTGTCACTTGGCTTAGAAAGCCCTTAGCTCATTCTTGGGCTGCTGTCTTTTGCACTCTGGGATTTTTTCATAGTTTAATTTTCCATGCAGAACAATAATCGCCCTGCAAAGGTATGATGATGAAAATCTAGTCAAGGTTTCTGTAGTTTGACTGGAGCATGGGGTTGTGGGATTTCATGTATCTGTCTAGAATTGGTGGGCTCTGCTGTTTTCACAGTGCTTGAGCTGAGCCTCACTGCCAGTAAACACACTCCTTTCTTTGGTTTTGACTCTGCTTCTGTCTGCCAGAAATCTGAAATACCTCTCCCTACTGTAACCTCTGGGACTTGTTTCAGTGCTGTTCAGCTGGACTAGATGTGCTGGATCCCTCGCCTTCAGGGGGTGGTCTCAATTTCTCTCTGAGACCAGCAAAATGCAACCTTCTTTTGTATTGTTATGATTTTGTGTAATTGTTACGGGAGGGGGGCATCCAGACCCTGCAAACCTGCCTGCTCTAAATAGGTTCTGCCATCCACCGCATCAACACAAAACATGTAAGACTTTAATGGGAAGGAACTTTAATAAAACTAGGAAACAATACAGGTAAGGCAAAGAGTCTAGTTTCTAAATGAAGCACCCAAAAGTTACCCGTCCCCTCGTGGGTAAAAATCCATCCATATGGGATCGGCCCAGAGCAAGGCCCCAAAACCTGTCACAAGTCTAAAGCATCTTCCAGTAGGCACCCACAGAAAAGGGTCAGAAACAACCAGACAAGCCCGGAAGGAAAAGAGCAAAATCAAAATCAAGGTAAAAGCTGCCATTGTCACCTCGCCACGGGTCTCACCCACATCTATGTCACCCAGTCCACAACCAAAAGGCAAGTGTAGTTTCTTCACGTGTCTCTTGGCTCCATGTGCCTCCTCCAGGTCTCCTTCTGGCTCTCCATCCTGCTTCCTTCCTTTTCAATCTCCTCTGCAGCTTTTTCTTCTCCCTGCTCAGCTCCACCCCACTTTGGGTGGGGCAGGGAACCTGGAACTTTCCGCTTTCCTGGGGACCATCCTGTTACATAATGATTTGTCTAATGCACAGCTACTCCCTGCTCCCCCATTGCATTGACTCATTAGCTGTTTCCTGGGGTGTGGATTTTTCTCCTAATTTCTGCGGAGTGCCCATCATAGAGTGGACACTAAGTCGGTGCTGGTTAAATTGAAGGGACAGCAGTCTCTGTCTGAGCCCAAGAGCATTAGTCAATCAGAACTTGACCCTGTTGTTTACCAGCTGAGTGTGGGTTGCTGTCCCTGTACAGGTGAAATGGAAGGCCGTGTCCTGCTCTCTGGGGTGTTCTGATTGAGCATGCCATTCGTACAGACGAAGGGCATGATAGACCGGAGCAATCCTTCCCTCGTGGATGTTATTTGACATTGTTGGTAGCTCCGGTCCCTCCCTCCACCCTCTCCTTTATCTGTCACATCCCATCTACTGTATGTTCTTTGCAGGCCACCCACTCCGCATAGACTCTCAACATGTGTACGTCTGATTGCTGCAGTAGCCTTTCGTATCACACCTTCTGCGTCTCACCCATCCTGAATGCCAGCCCCTCCACTGTCCCCCTAAATCCTGGGGACATCAAGTCCAGTCCAGCTGGAAGCCCTCATGGAATTCTGTGACTCCCCTGTGGAAGAACCATCTGGATTCCTAATTGCCTTCCCTGGTCCCACCTTAAATGACCTACTTCAAATCCTTATCTTCAACCCATTGGTGTCCTCAGTCATTCCATTGCTGCCTGAATTGCCTTTTAATTGTGGGAGAACTTTGACTCTTTGGTATAGCAACTCCATTGTCTGCCCTTCATTTGCAAAATGTAAATCCAGGTGCTTTTTCTCCTTTCTGGTGTCAAGTTACTTATTGCCAGGAATGGTTTTAGGGAACTGCTGAGCTGATCAAACAAAGAAACAATAAAGTTCCTTTGGCACAATAATGAGAGATTACCTGGGAACCAACCAAATGTAATTATACAGTTTATGGCTTTCTGTTGTCTCTCTGTGAGAATAGCTCTATGCCCCTCCCGACATGGCCTCATTTGCCACAGTAGCTGTTAGGTAGCGTGAACACTCGAGGTTGTTTGGGTCTAAGGAGGGGATTTGATTTATAGAAGAGGGAACTTACGTAATTAGTGACTTTCACAAAAATCAGTACATTTTATTTTATTCTTATATTTATGCTGTTAAACTTTCTTTCTCAAAATTTAGATTGCCCTAGCCCCATCCTAGACACTTCAAAGGACTCTAAATCAGGTAAGGGTTGTGATTAATATTGATAAATGCCCAAAATAAAATTTTGATGAAATAACCAAATTATGGCAAGAGACAATCTAGTTATATTTCTGTTTAACATCAAATAGTTTGAGTGAAAGGTATGGACTTTCATCTTCTATTTGAAAGAGTCAAATACATTTCAAAGTTTTATTATTATCTTGCTTTGTGAAATCGGTAACTTTAAAGTTTGGTGATAAAACTGTACCTGGTGAAGCTGGAACAGCAATTAGGCCATTTTGTGGATTGACCACACTGACCTGATACAGAATCCCCCACATAGTGGTGGACTCGTGGCTGGGATAGTCATGGGAGGCTTCCTTGAGAAGTCATGGTAAATGAACTTGGAAGGATGAATTGGGGGTAACAGGGCAAAGGAGGGGAAAAGAGCAGTCCTAGTCCATGAGACTGGCAGGTGCCAGGCCCTGTGGTGGGAAAGCTTTCTTCAGAGGTGGAGCTATTCCCACGCCTGGAGTCAGAGTGCGGGAAAAGCAGACCAGGCCCTGGTGTGTTTGTAGAGACGGACAGGGGCTGGAGTCCAGAGATGTGCAAATGGCCAATAATTGCTTCATACTCATGAGGATGGTTATAATAAAAATGAGGTTGGATATTGGTTTTGTAAGATGAAGATTAGAATGGTTGTGCAGGAACAGCCCTCCCAGCTGCCTTCCCTGCTGTCTGTGCCCTTGACACCTCGGGCAGTGTCTGAGTGGAGATGATGTAGTTTTGCAGAGTGAGTGCGGGGTCCTTGGGTTCACTCTGGGAAAAGTGTCACCAGAGCTCCCGTTTCAGTGGCGCGCGAGTTCCCCAGGCACGTTTCTCCACTAGATAGAGACGTTAGTCGTATTTAAAGAGCAGGTTTATTAGGGAAAGGAAAAAGGGACAGGTTTTGCTAAGAGAGGCCTGTATGGTTGCAGGTAGGCAGCCTTGACAGGTTACTGGCAGACAGGAAGCTGCTGCCCTGCGGAGGGAGAGGGTTGGTGAAAAGAAGCACCTGCATAGTCACAGGTGGGCAGTGGGAGTGCTGCCCCGAGACTGCGCAGAGACTGCACTGATATAGTCCTTTTCTCTTTGGGAGGGGTCACTCCTCCGTGGAGTGGCCTGCTTGTTGCCTATGTTGGGTAACAGGCAAAACTAGAAAGTCACCAGAGATTCCAGGGTGGGCCCAATCTCCATATCTTTACCCTCAGGACTGTGCTCCACTCCCTGTAGCATCTGATCCTGCTTGTGATAAGGCACTGGTGCCTGAGGGTCATGACCGCTACAGCTGGTTATTCCCCTCGACCCCCACCTCCTTGTGTGAGTCAGGTTTTAGTCTTGTGAGGCCTCCTTTCCAGTTTTTCTATTCTTGTCCTCCATCATTCAGAACTCTGCCCAGCAGAGTTCTGCAAAGTGTCACTCAGATGCTCCGATGAGGTTAGGGGAGAGTGGGGTGGGGTCTGTTTGGTAGATCATGTGGGACTGGATTTGTCAAGGACTATGGGTAGATCTTGCGAACTGAGGACTGAGCTGATGTGGCAGGAGGGGTAGAGGGCAAGGCAGGGAGCCCCAGAGGAGGGTGGGAACAACCCTTGACATTAGCCTCAGGGAAGGAGAGTGCTGGGCAGGCTTGTGGCTCTGCCTGGCTGTCAGGTCTCTGTCCAGCTGTGGACACAAGGAGGAGGCTAAGGTCTGCACCCCCCCTCCCTCCCCTGCCAATCTGCTTGTGCTCAGCTCAGCCCAGCCCCGGTTGAGAGAGGTGCGGGGTCTCTCCAAGTGAGGAAGGCTGGTGTGCTGTGCTCCCTCCCATTCAGCATGCTACTTTCAGATTCCCTCTCTTCCTGTCTCATCTTCGCTTTTAAAAAGTCTGCTTTGAAAAGTTTAAGCTTTTCTAGTTGAACTAAAGGGATCAAAAGAAGGAGTTAGAATTTTTGCTGGCGCCGAAGGACAGCAAGCAGGTGGGACAAGAGAAAGTCCCTCTGGGAGCTGTTTGCATGTGGCTTCCCCAGAGCAGAGGTTACGCCATCACAGCGCTCACTCACAGCGTCACAGGCAGGGTCAGTGCTTCATAAGCAGGGGTGTCCAGTGGCTGCTGGGAATTTAGGAGTGAGAGTGACCTGTTAGTAAAGACAACCACCACTTAATTAGCACCGACAGTGTGTCAGGCCCAGGGCTCCTCACAGACATCTTATTTAAATGCTTCCCAAATTTGTGCTGTGGGGCAGAAAAATGATCCCATTTAGAGGGGTTGCAGGATGGGGCAGGGGGAGAACCTGGAGTCAAGGACCAGGTAACTGTGAAGGTGAACTGAAGTGGTGGCCCCAGTCTCCCCCCTTTTCATGCTGCTGGGGTCTCCATAACAGCCTCTAAGTATAAAAACTGAAATCATTCATCAGAAAAAAAAAATCCCAGAAGTCTGAGCTGCAGGTGGGACCTCAGCTGGGGTTGGTCCAGGCACGGTCACGTGCTGCAAAGGCCCCAGACTCCTAGAGGGAGCGCTCAGGGTCCCTAGAGGGGGGTGGCTTCGCATATTCCTTTGTTGAGCATTGTGTGTGGGAGAATCAAGCTCACCTCATTGGCAGTTGTGAGGACTAGTGCATAAATGAGCAAATTTATGGAAAGGAGTAAATAACACAAAATAATTGCTATTAGCAGTTACTATTACTGTTCTCATTATTTGCAAATCTTTTCCTTCCTCCATGTAACTTTTGCTAATCTCTGGTTCTGGTGTGCGTAGGGGGCTTTCTTCGTCTGCTCACCGAATCCTAGTCTGAGTGGAGGGTGGGAAAATAGATTTCACAGAAAATAGAAGCAGCGGTGGCAGTGGGAGTGGAGGGATGGCCTTGGCTGGAGGAGTGTGTGTGGGCTGTTTCTGTGGTCAACCCGGGGAGGTCTGGGTGCCCCAGGAGGTGGAGTAGGATACACGGATTTGGGAGTGGGTGGAATGACCTCGTGGGGCTATCCAAGTGGAAAGAATGCAGGGAACAGAAAGTGGCATCTGGGGCATTAGTAGTGGGAGTGAGGTGAGGAGGAGGCAGGAGGCAAGTGGGGGCAAGGGAGGTAGGAGAACCAGACAGACACCCCAAGAGAATGGGTCGTGCAGGGAGGAGGGAGTGGCGGGGCCCTCCTTGTGGGAGCTGTGGGTGCAGGCTTTAGCAGCGGGCCTTTGCAGAAGGGAAAGGGTTTCCTCACTGGCTGTGGAATGGAGGTCGGATCACAGTAGACTGAAGTGCTGAGTTGGGGTGAGGTGGGAGGGCACGTTCTTGGGGACCACCTTTTCCAGAGTAGATGAAGAATGTGGATGTCTGTCCTGTGCATCAGAGGAATGACATCTGCATCCAAGAATTCTGCCCTGTCGTGCCCAATAGCTCGTGCCCATGAACCTCCTGGATTCACGAGTGCAGGGGCAGGACTGGGCAGCTCTCAATGTGGTTATGCAGCCCACGGATTTAGATGATCAGAGTGTATCACCCGTTTCCAGAGAAGAATCGGCTCCCTTTTAGGCAAATCGGACAAGCTGTGGGCTCAGTGAGAGCTGATTGAAAGAAGCTGGTAGCAGAGCTGGCTCTGTTGTACAGCATTTTGATTTCTGTTCACTTGTGTGCTTGTTCAGGAGAGGACAGTTCTTCTGAGAGCAGCTCTGAAAGCGAATCTGGTAAGTGAAGCATTTCTTTATTGGTAGAATTCCAGTTAAACACACAGAACTTTGTTTTTATTTTAAAATAATGGGCCCATCACTTACATTGCCCGAGGACATGAATTATGCTAGCATGGTTTTGTAGAGTGCTGAAAAGGTACTTACATGGTAAGTCGTTTCTGGTTGGCAAGCAAAGTGGCATAACAGGATGGGCTGAAGAAGAGACAGGAAATGGTTGCCATTGGTGAAAGGCAAACATTTCACCTCTTCTGCCTGTTTCCCTTTAGTGGTCATATGAATCTGATTTAGACTCTTTTTTCTTTCCTTTTTTTTTTGTAGATGATGAGGAGCCAAAACCAGAAAAAACAAGTGGGTATATCCTTCCTCTGAATTTTCCTTTTTTGTTGTTGAAAAGAAGGTGAAGGATGGCCTTTAGGATTTTTAAAGTGGCAAGATACTTATTCATTGTTGTTTCCTGTGCAAAGCTGAATTAAATGTTACAAAACTCCTAAGCATTTTGGGAACCTGAGCTCAGCACACTTGGGACACGAGGGCCGTGATGCCGTGACTGCTTGTGTGGTTCTGCATGTCCAGTGCCCCGAGGAGAGGAGAAGGAGAGCTGGATGGCACCTGCAGTGTGGCCGCGGCTCACAGATTATCACCACGTGATAAGCTTTTGTTGCTGAAATGTACCATTTGTGATTTAAAGTTCCTGGCTTGCTATTTTGGCTATTTGTGAACAACTTGAATATGAAACCAATTTAAGGACGGATTCTAAGTAGAAAATGTGGTATGTGTCTACAGTTTTGTGGGTGACTAAGCTTATATTTTAACCTATTTTATTTTAGTGTAGGATCCCCCTACACCCACTCTCACACTGTGATCTGCCCGTGATCACTAATACCATAGCATGACATAAGCAGGGTCCTCTGTAATCCTTTAATGTAATCCCTACACTCACCTGTCCGTCCACATTTAATCTGATCCTCTCTGCTGTTCCCCTGTGGGAGCACATGAAGATGATTGTGAACTCCTTGAAGCATATTGTGTATGGATAAGAACCCGTGATTACCTTGCTGTCTCGGAGTTGGTGTCATTTTCTGATGCCCATAAGGAAAACATGTGTACCACCCCTCGTACTCCCAATCCTCTTGATTCATCATGGATTATGTCATCCTTGAAAATTTCCATCCAAAGTGCAGACTCCATATATTGGATGAAGAGAGAAATGAAATTAGAAAGCTGTGTATTAGGATCAGGTCTTTGTTGCTCTTGGCTAATAATGGGATAAACTCCATAGGGACACAGAGTAGAGAGTCAGCACTGGCCAGGGCCTCACCAGGGCAGGTTGTCCCAATGTACAGCGTTTGGAGTCCTCGAGGTCTCACTTGGGTAGGAGTCTGGGATCAGACAGGGCATTTGTGGGGCAGGAGGTGGCTGGTCCCAGGGCTTGGCTGAGTTAGCCATGTGTTCCTTGACAGTGGAAGTGCCCTGTGCCTTGTGTGGGTAGGCTGAGGATGCTTGTCCTTGGATCTAGCTCCACCCTAGCAGCCTGGACTTCCCCTATGGTCATCTCTCTGTTGAAAGGCCTGGTATCCTCCACATTTGGGGGAGACAGGAGAGGCACCCTCCTATTACCTCCACTTTAACAACAGATAGAATGACCAGGTCAGCTGCCCTGGTCATTTGTAGGCTGGCTGTCCAGCCTACATGTCTTCTACTCTGAAGTCACCTGCCTCATGTATTGAAGAGAAGTTGTGGTTTATAAATTGGGGAGCACTGCAGTACTGGGAGACCTAGAGAACTGCTGCCTGTGCTGGTCAGTTAGGATTCTGTAACCTTCTTCCCTTTTTCTGCTCCCAAGGCAAAAAGCAAGACAGAAGCAAGTCGGGTGTGGATGAAATACTATGTAGCTGTGCAGCCAGATATATTGTATCAGTTAGAATTTTATGACCCTTTATCAGACAGAGATGAGGAAACCTGATTGGAGGGATTGTATGGTGCAATACTTGGGTCAGTATTTTAGAACCTTCAGATCTATAGTATTATGAGCCCAGAACTCTCAACACTTTTAGTCTCTATTTGCCATTTCAGCTTAATGCTGTTTTTTTTTAAAGATTTATTTATTTATGCATACAAGAACTGGGGCACAGGCCAGAGGTGTGGGGATGAGAGGATTCACCAGAGACGGAGTGGGGAGCAGAACAGGCAGACTGAGTGAAATACACTGCTGAGGGGAGCAGTGGGTGAGCAGGAGAGGTCTGTTGCGCCATGTGGGTTGCTCCCTCGTCAGCCAGGATCGAACTCGTGCTGCAGACAGCTTCATAGTTTGCATCTTAACCCCTTGCGCCACCAGGGAGGCCCTTAATGCTGTTTTTTAAAGATGGTTTTTCTCTTGCATCCCTGGGCGCTGGACACAGCCCAGGTGCCTGAGATCAGGCAGCTGTGTAGCTGGGCAGGAACACTGTCTCCAACCTGCACGTGTGGGCAGTGCCCATCTTACTCGTGGGATCACCCTCCTGGAGGTTGTTCAGCTTTTAAGATATGAGCCCAGGTATTTGGCACATTAGATCTTCCCCCAAGGGAAGGGTAGTGGTTGTCTACTTTAGAATTCTTGGATTTCTTAATGATCGCTACCATTGCCTTAGGAAAATAATGTTTACTATAACAGCTAACACAGAAGGCTTGCTGAATGATTGCCAGGCACAACCCCTGATTTAATTTTATAACTTTGTGGGGGCAGTCTTATTCTAACCCCCATTTAACCAGCTAGGAACATGAGACAGGGACGTAATGACATCAGTAGACAGCCAGAGTCATTCAGCTGGTGACCACTGTGTAAAAGGAAAATCCATCTCTGTTCCCTTTCATAATACATTATGTACCTTGGAATTCTAGTGTTCAGAGAGTAGTCTTCCCAGGCCCGAGGGATCCAGTCCTTATGATGCTTGCTTTTGGTGGGAGAGACAGGAGCAGGCATGCTGAAGTGTGTGCTGTGCCAGGTGGGGTGGGGGCTCTGGAGGGAGAATGAGCATCCAGCGGGCCCTGCCCTAGGGGTAACAGGAAAGTCTCCCTGAAAAGGTGGCATTTGAGCAGCAACAAAGCTGTGCGGCAGCAGCAGCAGAAATACTTATGGGAGGAATGGAGAGGACAGAGGCCCCAACTGCTGTGCCCTGGTGTCAGATGGGGCATATAATGGTGTTTGGAAATGGAGGCTGGTAGGGGATAAAGTGATAGGGCTTACCTTCTAGGGCCTGGAGCCACATTTAGGGAGTTTGCATGCTAAGACAGAGCCCCTTACAGTAGTTCTAGTTTAAAGGTGCATAAAGCCAGATGTTCCTGTTTTGTTTCCAAGTTAATCTCTAACTCTGCTCACCTGGAGGGTGATCCCAGCGAGCATCATCCCGGGAAATGACTCCAGCTCGGGGTGACTGAGCTGCTTGCCGGGGTGAAGATAACTAATGACAGGGTCTTCGGTGATCGCTGATACCCTGACTCTTCTTGTCTTCACAGATGGGGAGCTAGGAGAGTCTTCTCCGGAGGAGGCACCTACTCTGGGTAAGTTTGAGGCCGTGTGCCTTGTTTTCTCTGCCATGTAAAAGATCAGATAAAGAGGGACATGCTGAATGAGTGATTTGAAACCTTAGAGTCACCTTCAGATTTAATTTTGTGCATGGTGGTGGGATTCACAGACATGAGGACGTGCCATTGAATCCACTCTGGAGATATTTAAAATATCTTTAAAGTTCCTGCTGGTTGAGAAGTGGAGGGGCTACTTAAGGTAGTGCAGAACTTGCCCTGTGGTTGACTTGTGCTAACCTGTGTGTGACTGTCTCACAGCTGATGAGTGGGCGGATGAAGAATTGCCTGCAGATCACTTAAGCTCAAGTACGAACTTACATTTCCCGAAGTATTCTTTTAAGTGTCATTATTGCTGAGGGGCATGTTCCTTTGACTTATATACCACATAAAAAATTTCATTTGAAAATGCCAATTACATTCACATAAGTAAGACTTCTTTTCTCTCATTTAGAACTTACTAAAATCCAGCCTCACTGTGAACACTGTAATGTTGATGGCGTAAGTACCTTTTAATTATAAAATGTGATTTTCTAATTTGCATTATTTAAAAAAACATTGTCCTTATACATTATTTACAGATACATATGTGCTTTTTCTCCAGAAACACAGTGAACAAGTGACCCCCAGACTCCTTTCCCGGGGGCAGTTTTTGTAAGTAATTGTGAATGTGGAAGACTCCATGTCATCAATAATTTAATTTTGCACATAAAAATTACCCCAAGTAGGAGAAACGCAGAACAGCATAACTAACTTCACACATTTTGTATAATTAACTGGGTGGTTTTCTTAGGTAATGATGTTTTCTTCAAAATGCTATGGACTTCCCTTGGTGTTTTTGAATAAAATTAAAAAAAAAAAAGACATATCTTAAGAAAAAAAAGCCTTCTAACCAAACATTAGGACTAAACCAGTGTTCTTGTCTGACCAATGCAGACTGAAGGTGGACATGGAGGGAATTTACCAGTGCACGGAAACTGGTCTGATATTTGAGGTTAACAGAAAAGTCGACATCAAGTATTGCGTTTTGTCCTGGAGCAAATATGCAGACCTGGTTGTTAAGCCCTGGCTTGTTGGTGGGCCCCTCTTTGATGTTAAATGTGACCCCGCCTGCCTTACCTCCATTCAGTTTCCACATTCCCTCTGCTTGGGTCGTAAGTACTTGTTCACTCAATGTCTCTTTCGTGTGTGCACGTGGAGAGAGTGTGTCCCCCGCACTGATCCTCCTTCATGTTTTCACAGACCTTGGCTCCAATATGATGTTCAAGGTCTTCCATGTTAAAAGCTCTGGAGCCTCATTAGAATACACTGTGGAGCATTCTGCAACCCATGTGAAGTGGAACGTGAGCTCTCTTTCTCCCGTGGGACCCGTCATTCAAAGTGAAGAAACTGTGTACCACCACGGGGCTGTGATTCTGTACAAAGCCATTGACCATGATCGATCCTTATCCTTCCGTGTCTACGTAGCCACCAACAATGAGTCCTTCATCAAGGTAAACCCCAAAAAGATGAATAATAAATGCTGGATACTTGATAATTAAACATTATACCACACTGAGGTGGGTTCTAGCTTTGCTGAACGTGCCTCCTCAGAGTGGGTCTAATTTGACTCTCACCTACAGAGGTTATAAAGTCAGCACCTAGGTAGGTGCCAGACCTTGAATCCATGAGGTGTGGTGCTTATATCTCACAGCAGACAGTGGGAGTCCGAGGGGGACAGGACCAAAGAGTGGCCTGGCCTTGGGGAGGGCCACCTGATGTACTGAAAACAGCTGATCTTGTAGTCTTGCTGCATAATGTAGTTTGAGAACGACGGAACCTGTAGCACTGGCAGCAGTTGGGAGCTTGTTAATTTGCACATTCTCAAACCCCTGACCCCAGAATCGAGCCTGCAGAAGCAAGATGCTCAGCTGGCCCTTGTACATGAAGGCTGAGAAGCCCCCACTCTGGACACTGGGGCCACTTGAGGTCAGTTTAGGTTCTCCTTGGCCCCAAGCTCCTCAAATAAGATGAACCTGCCAGGTGAACTCATTGCAGAGCAATTTTTTTTTTAAAGATTTATTTATTTATGCATACCAGAGCTGGGGTACAGGCCAGAGTCAGAGTGGGGAGCAGAACAGGCAGACTGACTGAAATACACTGCTGAAGGGAGCAGCGGGCGAGACAGGAGAGGTCTGCTGCACCATGTGGGTTGCTCCCTGGCCAGGGATTGAACTCGTGCTGCAGAGGCTGCGGATTACTTCATAGTGCGGTGCTTAACCCCATGCGCCACCAGGGAGGCCCCTGCAGAGCAATTTTTTGGCTAAAAATTGACCTAAGGTTCTTGGCTTCAACATTCTGGTTGAGGATCCTCAAGGATCCTTAAGGCAGCAAGGCTGAGGGGAGGGCGTTTGGATGCTTGTAGTGGAACCAGAATTCAGAATGAGGCTGTGCTTGTGGAGCCCATTTTCTGAACTCTTACATAAGTCTGAACTTATGTAACTTATTCCAGCTAATGGAATCTCCTTTCATACCTTTTGTTGTTGTCGGTACAGGTGTAATGGGTTGAGGGAGTGAAGTACTGAAATAAACAAAGGAGACAAGTGACACCGTGACTCAAGTCAAGGCTTGACAGAGGTTACAAAATAAACATTAGCTTTATAATGAAGAATGCTAACTGATGAATTGGCTACTCCCAATATTTTTAGGCTGTGGTACTTGTAGCTTTAAAAATAAGTTATTCTGATTATACTTAACAATATATGCTAATCTTAAAAGCCTTTATCAAGTAATAGGTATTTAGTTTACTCCTAAGATAAAGTATGCTTCCTATATTCTCATTAAAGGCAATCCTTTCAATTGGGAAACTAGTCTTCAAAATGGTATAAAAAAATCCCATCTAAGGTGTATTTAGCATCGATTTGGATAAGTACTATTGTTTAATGAACATTATGTTTTTAAAAGTAAATTCACTGGGCCTCCTCTGTGGCGCAGTGGTTGAGCGCTGTGTTGCAAAGCTGCCCGCAGCTTCTGCAGCGCCGGTTCGATCCCCGGCCGCTAAGTGAGGGTCCCACATGGCACGCAGACCTCTCCTGCCGCCCGCTGCTCCCCTCAGCAGTGTACTTCAGTCCTTCTGCCTGCTCTGCTCCCCGCTCTGGCTCTGGTGAATTCTCTCACCCTCCCGTGAATTCTCTCACCCAGTGCTTGTATAAATAAATAAATAAATTTTAAAAAAAACAAAAACGATTTATTAAAAAAAAAAAAGTAAATTCACTGTAAGGCTCTCTCCATAGTCCCCAGGAAGCTGGGGCACAGAGCTGACGCAGCAGCAGAGGTAGAGGAGGTGCTGCCTGAATGGCAGGAGCCGCAGGGTTAAGGCAGGATGCTCTTCCTGGCTGATGTTTTATTTTTACACCTTTCTTCTTGGGTTGATTTTTTTCCCCCCCTATGTGGGATAAGATTACCATGAGCTCTCGCTTCAGGAAACTTAAATTTCTTGTCCAGCTGTGTAGCTGCTTAACCAAGTGGGTTTGGGCCCAGGGTTACATTAGCCTCTTGGGGCACTCAGACAGTCCATATAGAGTCAGTGTCCCCTGTAGGGCTGTGCCAAGGGGATCCTTGTGAAATGGCTTGGAAACATGTCAAGCACGGGGAAGAAACAAGCTAAGTAAACGGTACAGTAACTGCTCTCTGACCTCGCCAGGTGTGTGACTCACTTGGGGGCATAGAGCTAGTGCTGGTTCAGTTTTCTCAGCTGATTCAGACGTGAGCTGTTGGTGCCACACGGGGTCTGTCAGTCATACTTATGTGCAGAGGTGCTTGGAGATCAGGAGCCCGAAGTGTGCAGCCAGCCGGCTCGGGGACCCATGGAGTCCTGTTGGGGACACTGGGAGCCGGTCCCTGAGGGCATCCTGGGGGAGGGGAGGAGAGGAGATGCTGCAGCCTGCCACGCTCTGCTGGGACTCACCTGCTTACAGTTGTAGCTGATGAATTTCAAAACCGAAACCTGTTTCTGCCTTTAGGATATTTCCAAGTCTGTAAAGCACTCCTCTAAGAAGTTCATGAAAATCGACAAGCCTCCTGTTTGCCAGAAGTTACTGCAAAATGGGAAGAAATACAAACTGGTCAGTGTGCCGGAAGCTGAAATCACCCCTGAGGTACAGACATGTTTTGAAAACCACTCGGAGTAGCCGTGGGGATGGATATTTCTTGGTTCTCGTTTTTTTTTCTTTATCTATAAGAAAGCAATTGTTTTGCTAAGCTTGTAGCTTACTTCAAAGATGCTGTTGAATTTCAAGATTAGCCTGTGATCATTGCAAAATAATTTCCCCTTTAAAAATTTTAATTTTTTTTACTTTTTAATAAAATTTTTCAGTGTTAGCTTCAAAGGAATGAAAATTTTAGGTTTAACTTTGCACAGTGCTTTGAAGGTTAACACAACAGAATTGCTAATGAGGGATCTTGGGTTTTTCTTACCGGAAGGCATTTGAAAAATAGTCTTGGGAATAGCTTGTTATTAGAGTTACTCCTGTTCATTGTACATGCTTGGCATTTGTAAATGATTTTGGTTTTTCATGAATGACCAAGTTACATTTAAATTTTATTTGCATTATGTGCTCTGACTTACCTCTAGTGGGAATTGCTCTTCTACAGCTTTTTGTTTGTATTATAGTTTATGAAAAGTTGAAAGCTTGTTTCGATTCCATTAAGTTAAAATGCAAGGCAGGAAAGAGCTGTGACTGTCCACATTGCATATTTTGTTCTGTTACTGGCACAGTACCCTGTGGAAGTGACCAGATGTCTTCTGTGACCCTGACCATTGCAGCCTTACAGCAGTGCAGCTGGAGGAGCAGGTGTGCTGAGCAGGCAGGGAGGCGTCACGCTCCCCGTGGTGGGAGAGCCGGCTCTGAGCCCACCTACTGGGCCTCCTAGAGTCCTGCTACGGATTCAAGAAGCTGAGTCTCAGCCCTTCCGGAACTGAGCAGGCCAGGCAGAGGCATGAGCCAGACAACCACACAAAGCAAATGCCACTCTATCTGGGATCTAGTTTGAAGGATTTGCTAGAGCAGTGATTCTTGGCTTTTGCTACATAAAGTCATGCCCTGGGGAGCTTTACAAAATTCTGTGGTGTGGGTTCCACTTATACTAGATACTGACCTAACTAGTCTGCGATGGTCTGGACACTGCTTGTTGAAGATGAGAAGGTGATTCTTATGTGCTGCCAAGATTGAGACCCACTGTGGGGAGAACAGTTTGAAGCAAGGGGGCATCTATCCTGGAGGACATGGATGGTTCCGAGTTCTTTCTGACAAGGGATGTTAGTAGTTGGAGGACTCTAAGTGGCCTGGTGCTGTCTCTGATTATGTGCTTTTTTTTTTTTTAACCAATTTCGGGGCTATAAAATGATGATTATTTCCCAGATTGCTCTAAGGATCATACACAGTGATGATTGGAGACCCTCTGGAAGTTGTAAAGCTCTGTGTAAATATAAGATGTTCCTACTAGTTTTATACCACTAATAATTTATTTAACTGACATTTATCAAAAGTGACTATTTTAAGTCAGCCTGAGGTAAGAGCTAAGAATTAACAAACAACAACAGCAATCCTTTCCCTCAGAAGATGCCGGTGTAGTGGGAGAAGTACCAGGTCATGCAAAGAAAGGATTTGAGTGTGATGTAGTGTGTTATCATGGAGATGGTACAAAGTAAGGTGGTTTGGGGCAGCTTCTCATTTTTGTGGGGGAGAGATGGGCTGGCAGTGCTCCTGGAGGAGGGAGCTGCAGGTGTCTAAATGTGGGGATGAGAGTGTGAATCTGGATAGCTCCAGGGGCCTGGGTGTGGAGAGCTTCGGAGCCGTGGTGGGGCCTTCTGGACTTTGCAGGCCCTGATGGGCCTTTGAGGATTATGAGGATGATACTAGTGGTTTGGATGGAAGGGGGGAGGGTAGGTTCATTAAGGTGATGCCAGCACAGTGCAGTGATTCTTAGAGAGGAGAGGTGAGGTTAGAGAGGAGAAGAGAGTTGGAAGGCAGGAGGCAGTCAGCGGTGGGCTCACGCTTTGGAGTTAGGTATGGATTCAAATTCATTTCCACTACTTCCTATGCATGAAATTGGACACATTGATTGGCTTCTCTGAGATTCTTTATCCATAAAATAGCGATAGAAGGATTTTTGGGGGAAGGTGGCATTGGGTGGAGAGAATGTGGAGGAATACTCAGCATAGTTCTGTGCCTGCTGTTGAATGGATTCCAGTGATAGAATGATCTAAGTGAAAGATGCAGATGATGTTGACAAGCGCTAATGGGAGGGTAGCTGAAGGGTCAGTGCACCTTCCAATTTGAGAACATGAAATTCTGAAGTCACAAAAGGACTGAAAAGTTACACATTGAAAAAACTGGGTCAAGGGACTGACAACCTCCGTGAGGGAGCAGAGCAGCTTGGCTGAGGAGGAGTTAGAATTAGGAGAGAAAGGTGCGTGGTTAAAGGTGAGATTTCCAAGATCAGAATTTCATGAACATTCAAACAAGCAACTGCCTTTTAAGTTGTCATGGTCCTTATTTGACCTTTTGTGTTCTCAATTAATGCAAGTTTTAAATGAAAAAAAATCACCTTTTTTTTTTTAAATAGGAATTTGAATTTGTTGATGGTTCACTTTTGAAATTGAAAAGTTATATTGAAGTTTATTTGGAGCAACCAGTGGAGTTTAAATTAGTTTTGACTGAAATGGATTCCGAGGAAATTGTATGGAAAGCAAAACTGAGAGAATGTAAGTGTTTTGTAAGTTGAATGAAAACCCTGGTTTGTGGGGTAGTGGGTGGGAAAGCTAACAGCGCTTGCCCCGGCTCGGGCACCCACATCCCAACCCTGGAGTTCAGCAGTGGTGATTCAGCGAGTTGGGGAGTCTCAAACAGCGAGTTGGGGTGGACTCAGCCACTGGAGCTTAGTGTTTTCCTACTGCTGTGAGGTGTGAATTGGGGGCATCAGACACAGTCTCTTCTGTGACCCAGGCGAGTGCATTTTGGCTGATCACACGTTTGATTTGCCTGGCTCTGCCTAACGACTGTCAGCTGAGAGCTCCCGCTCTGTGATCACAACTCCACTGTCCACACCACAGCCCTGCTTAATATTTTGGGAAACCCTCTCGTAACCATCCCTTAAACATCCTCCTCTGCCCCAGGAGGAGTCGGAGAGGGCTGCAGCCTGTGGACCGACTCTGGGAAGGAGAGATGGGGCCAGGGTGGGGGTACTCCTCCTCCTCAGGCAGGGCTGAACTTGAACTCTGTTCTATTTGGAGGAATTTTTACAATAGTTATTAGAATAATGGTTCTAACAGTGTATGGTGACTATTTTGGCGCCAAAAGAGGCAGAAGCAGTGGATTGGGAGTGAGGTATGCTTTTAATTCCAGCCCTAGAATTAGCCAGCTCTCTGTGGGCATGTGGGCACCTCTGCCCGCTCGGAACTGCAGTATCCTCACCTGCAGATGGCGCCCAGGTCCCTGCAGTTGGTACCACAGGTCTGCGGTGGGATTATTTTTGCATCATTTGTGTTTTGGATTATGATACCTTAGCTTTTCCCCAGCACCACGTGCCCAGTGGGGACTACAGTGTGGTTCCGAACCCAGCCCAAGTGCCCAGTGCTGGAAGCTGGACATTGAAGCCGTTTTAACTGGCTCCTATATTCCCCTTGCTCCCCAAAACTTTATTTTGCTGCACAAATGTAGTAACGCCAAAGATCTGACAAGCATTCTGTAAACCTTTTTACTATCTGAACAGCGTTGGAATCTTTCTCAGCTCTTTTCTCTTGTATCCATTGGGTGTTGTGTGGGCAGATGGATTTGCTGGTGATGCCTCATGCCTGTCATAAATTTTTGTCTCTCCATGACACAGATGTTATTATGTTCACTAGCGCCCTGGGTTTCATTTCTCGAGTATAAAGATAAGATAGGAAATACAGTCTAATCATTGTGGAATTTTCACTCATAGTTTAAAAGAAGCCTTTTTTTGCAGATATGATTGATTTTTATTCTCAGATTATACCTTAAAATAGGCCCCTTTGTCCAAGCTAAAATTAATTGCCAGAAAAGGGGCCTTCTTGGGTTTCTCAGTGTTGGGGATTATATTGTTTTTCTTGGTATTCATTAATTTGTTCAAATAAAGGACCCTGAAAGATGTTTTCTTTTAATCACAAGGTAATAGAATATTTAATCATAGTAAATAGTATTTAATACTGAGTACTGGGATAGCAGGTATTCTTGGTAATTTTAAAGACATATTATAAGACCTCTTGGTATTTAACATCTTTTTTTTTTTTAATGTTTTTTTGCCTTTTGGCAAATCTTTTTTTTTTTTTTAAAGATTTATTTATGCATAAAGAGCTGGGGTACAGGCCAGAGGTGTGGGGGTGAGGGGTGAGAGGATTCACCAGAGACAGAGTGGGGAACAGAACAGGCAGATTGACCGAAGTACACTGCTGAGGGGAGCAGTGGGCGAGCCAGGAGAGGTCTGCTGCGCCATGTGGGTTGCTCTCTGGCCAGCCGGGGATCGAACTCGTGCTGCAGAGACTGCAGATTGCTTCATAGTGCGGTGCTTAACCCCTTGCGCCACCAGGGAGGCCCTCTTTAACATCTTAATAATAGGCTGCAGTGTAAGATGTTTGTAATCTCTATGGGGGGGGGAGCTTAAGCTAATTAATAGTTAATTGAGGTTGGTCATCACTATTCAGGCATTTTCACTAATGGGACCTACAGAAGCCATACATGGCATCTGTTGGGGGATAAATTTAAAACAGAGGTGATTTCAGATCCCAACTAAGTATCCAGGAAGAGCTCCCCGACTGCTGTGTTTACCAAAGTACAGAATGTGGACAGATGAAACAGGTTTTGGAGGAGTATATATAAATACATTTAAAATAAAAAAATGTTTATTTTTATTGCTTCCTTTTCCACATGGCAAGTCACACCAGTGTTCTCTTTGCAGTAGTTATAAGATATTAAGTGAGTAGCATTTCACCTGGCACACAAGTGTGGCAGAAATCATGACAGTGGTATGTAGCTGACGTAAGAGGGGGAACATTTGCCTTGCAAGATGTGTTAGAGGGAGTACTTGTCATTTATTGCAAAAATTCAAGGCCACAGTGCATTTGTGTGCCTACCAAGTTAAATCTTAAACTTGTATTTGAACTTTAGAGAGATTAACAAAACCCTAGAACTTTATGCACTTTCTCAAATTGATTTCTTTAATTCAAACTTTACACCACTTTCCCCCAATGGTGCTTATATGTTAACAGGTGACTGGGCTCAATGTGACCAGAATCGGAACATCTCAAAAAGAAGCACAAGTGGTAAGTGCTTGTGGCTGGATGTTAAAATTTTACCTGTGATTCTATTCCTCCCATTTACTAGAATTATTTTGCCCCACAAATGTTGGAACTAAGGATCACTAAGGATCTGTTAAGTATGTGATAGCTCTTAAGCATCTGAACAGCCTTTGAATCCATATTCGTTTTGCTTCTACCTGAATGATGAATTAAAAAAAAATTGCAGATTGAAGGCAGGCATAAGATAAGAAATAAAAGGAAAGCCAATATGTTTTTTTTTTTTTTTTTTTTTAAGGTAACAGACGCCGAAAAATGAGTAGCAGCTTACCTGACGAGGAGATCTATGATAAAAGGATAAAGCAGATGGACAGTTCAGGTTTGTAAAAGTGCCATAGGTGCCTATAGATTTTCTCCAACCCCTGCCATTGACATTCATCCAACACATGTGCTGTTGGCTCAGTATTCCCAGAGCCTCATCCCAGATATATCTGCCCCATATGATGTCCCGGTCTTCCAGCTCCTCAGGCCTAGAGGGGGATGCTCCTTGGTGGGCTCGGCCTACTTTTCCACTTGACTTCCCTCCTCCCCTTCCGATAGACTGAGCAGAGTGGGTGCGGCCACTGGCCTGACCCAATGTCATCCTTACAGTCCTAACACATGGGGACACAGGCTGCCCATCTTTGCATTTCCCAGAGCCCTGAACTTGGAGTCGTTCACATAGAAGAAGTAGAGAATGAAACTGTGAATATCCTTGTGTGTTCCATTAGCTTCACAGTTACTAGTTACTTCTGGAATGGAAAGAACCACATCTCATTTTTTTCCCCAATAAATGGCTGAGACCAAAGCTCAATAGTTGTGAAAATGCAAGAGATTTAAAATGTTTAACATCATTCAAGGAGCCCAAAATTTAAGGCCAGCTAGGACTCACAAATAAGTTTCAAAATTCAGACTCACATTATATGAAACAAAGTCTTAAGTCTTGAGGGACCTCATGCAACTCCCCAAGTTAACCCTTTCACCAAAAATGTCCTAATGCTATGTCTCCTCCTATTATTATGAGCTATGATGCTCTAATAGCAGATCAACTTTCTCTATAAAGTGAAATAAGATACTGTCCACTTTTTAGAGCCAGAGGTTATAAGGAGGACGTATGTATGATTTCACTAAATATCACTGGAAATATTTACTGTTATTTTGAAGTGAGCATCAAAAAAAGTGAGGTTCTAGAATTATTTTTAAAATCTAATTAAATCGGAATACATTTTTTCCAGTTTTATTGATGACTTGATATATGTCTACATTGTGAAAAATTTACCAATCCACTTAATGAACACATCCATCACCACACATAGTTACATTTTTTTTGGTTGGGGATGCTTAACATTACTCTCTATTCAAATGTTAAGTGTGTAATATAGTAGTATTAATCGTAGTCACCAAACTGCTCATTAGCTCTTCAGAACTGAACCATTTTAAAATGGAGTGGGATACAATTTCATATTAAATTGGTTTATAGAATAAGTTTCCTGGCTGCATGCATTTATTTGCTTATTTACAATTGGCTCCTAGAATAAGTAACTGGACATAGAATTAAATTATCAAATACTATCTTGAAGATGAAGTATTCCTAACCTTTTTGGATTTAAAAATGTGATATCTAAATACATTCGTAAAGCTTTACTTTTGTTTAGGTATTTTTTCTTTCAACATTCTTTGAGATATGGAGTCACTAGCCTGAATTTCAGGCTCGGCATGTCACTGTGCTGTTATTGAAAATCTCATTAGCGCTCAGCAGAATCACTTTGAAATTTTTCTTAAAATTTAGGTTCAGAGTCTGATGTTAGTTAGACTCTAACTATCTCAGGGGATAGTCCTGAGAACTTTACTTTTTCGTAAGTTCCCTGAGATTTACCCTGAGCAGTTGACCACACATCAGGAGGCCACTAGAGGGCGTGGGTGTCCTTTAGGATCTGTGTCATAATGTAGAAGTTGGAGGGTGCTGAGGTGGGGATGGGCCAAGTGCAGATGCTAGCTGCATGTTAACGTTTGGCAGTAGGTGAGGGAGGTGTTGCATCCTGGAGGAGGGACAGGGGGTCATGTTCTCTCTCGCTCCCTGCTGATCTCACCTCCAGTATATATAATGCCTTGAGGAGTCTTTTCCCAGACTGCTACCAGTCAGCTTTACTGCATCTTAGCACCATCAGCTAAGACTTGGAAAGTAGGAATTGAGCCTAATGATAGGGCTGATGTTTTTATGGGGCAGTGGAGGCCACTGGCCAATATATACCCTTCCAAGATTATGGTGCTGTTTCCTAGAGATCAACAAATATTACAAACACTTTTCTGTGGATGTGCGTTTCCCCATCATGCCAGGAGGTGGCATAAAGGAGACCAGTTCAGATCTCTTACTGTCCTTTTAGTGACCACTAAGGTAGTTATCTGTGTGTGACACTGATATTTGGACAGAAACACAGAGGTGGGCAAGGGAAAAACTTTATATTTTTCTTTTTGAACCACATAACATTTTTGTTGTCTTTTTTTTTAATTCTGCCCTAATTTATGCTGCTTTGTAAAACAATATCTTTACCCGAATTATTGAACTGCCACTGTGAACATTATACTCCATAATTTGACATAATTCCCTTCAGTCATTATTGGAAAGCAGGAATTTAGGGACACTTAGGTATATTTTAAAATCAGTTAAAGTTACAGATCAATGTGCCCCCTTTTTTTTAATCTAAGAATAATTTCTCACTGTGAATTGCTATAAATGATTGAAGAGTCAAGAGAAGCTAGTCAATTCTCATCTGCTTGTAGATGGAGTGAAGACCAGACCGCGGTTAACAGATGTGCAGCTGATAACCCTTGCTGGGAAGTTGGGGGAGGAGTGGGTAAAAATTGCAATTGCCAACCTGAAGCTGGAGATGAGAGATATTGATGAGATCCAGGGGAAGAAAGAAGATGTTACCATCTGTAAATTTAGGATGTTGAAAAAGTGGCAAGAAAAGGAGCAGAGCAACGCCACGGCCCAGGCCTTGTATAACTGCTTGAAGAGTGTGGTTTCTGCTGAAGCCCGGGATGTGTTGGAAGGTGAGTGGGAAGCTTCCCTCAGTGGTGGTTTCATATTTGGAAGCCACCTGTGTCTATGAACAGCACACTGCAATAGGAAGTGTTGCTTGGTTATCCATAGGTCTGGGTTCAGACAGACGTGCCTTGTAGTATGCAGGCTGCTGTCATCTCAGTAAAGGTGACTTGTGACCATGGAGTCTGAGGAAGGGTCCAGGCCTTGCTCAAGGGCTAGCTAGTTAAACCCTCTGCTCCCTCTGTCAAATGGATGCACACCACCCCCTAGCCCCGCCTCTCCCTAGGCAAGTGGGGAGTTCCAGTAAGGGGCAGAAGTGACCATGATCATGCGCTTGAGACAGCTGATTGTGTGGGGTCCCTGGGCCCTTGGGGTGCTGATGCAGTGCTGGGGGCACTGAGTGGCCCTGGGAGCATCTGGTGGCAAAGAGGGATGGGATGAAGCAGAGCCCACAGAGGGCAAAAGGAGTCATTCTGGGCTCAATCTAGAAAGCCACAGGCTGCTTCCTCTGTTTTTAAACACTTTTATTTTGTACCTGGAGTTAGCATATTGTTATACCCAGGGTCAAACCAATTCAAAAGTTTATTATTATGTATGGTTACCATAGCTAAAAAATGGGGTGTTACTTCTCAGAAGCCTCAATGAATGACAGAGGTTTTATTTGGAATTCTACTTAGATTTTTTTTTTTTAGTCCTTTAAAGGGTGTGGAAGGGTGTAAATGCATGAAATGTAGCAGCACAGAGTGGTCTCCTGGGCACTGGCAGCAGGCTGGTGGGCAAGCTCTCCGAGTCTCACCTTGGTCTGTGTATGAGGAAGCATCAGGCAGATAGAGTAGCTGGCTCCAGTACTGAGTTTTTCATTCATGCTCTTGGGTGTATTGAAATAATGTAAACTGCTGAGCCCGCCTGTGGGACTCTGCTATTTGACACGGGCACTTCTGCCTGTTGACAGGAGGGTAGAGGTGCTGCTGTCAGAGGAAGGCCTAGAAATCTTTCTCTCAGATGGTCCAGAGGGTCGGTTTGTTTTCTGTTTTTGTCTGCTCCTCACCTCAATGGACACTTGACTTGCTGATGCATTCAGGCTATAAAAGGGTTTGTGACAGCGTTTAGTAGGGACAGGGATTTAAAAAGCTTACTAGTTCAATTCCCTCATTAAATAGGAAAAAAAAAATCTATGAGACAGAAACAACCCTCTTTACTGATATTTTATGCCCTTGTGTAGCCAAAATATCAGGCTAATTGGCTGACTTTTGTATTTTCATTAGAATTTTTTTTTTTAATTTATTTATACAAGCACTGGGTACAGTCAGAAGCATGGGAGGGTGAGAGAATTCACCAGAGCCAAAGCGGGGAACAGAACAGGTAGACTGACGAAATACACTGCTGAGGGGAGTAGCGGGTGCGGCAGGAGAGGTCTGCATGCCATGTGGGACCCTCGCCGGCGGCCGGGATCGAACCGGCGCTGCAGAGGCTGCGGGCAGCCTCGCAACCCAGTGCCCAACCACTGCACCACCGGGGAGGTCCTAGAATTTTTTTAATGTCACCACAGCCTTTAAGTTGCAGGACCTACCGGTGACTCAGGAAACCATGGTCGCCAGTTCCTTTTTGAACCAGATGAGGATTTTCAGTGACAGTATGTCCCTGACCACCACCCCCTAACCACCCCCCTACCCTGCTGCTCACCACCTATGAATCCCTAAATTTGTTTGATTTTCTCTCTCTCTTTTTTTTTTTTGTGGTTAGGTTTCTTACAGGAAACATGAAGCTTGAAGATGAGCGCAGGAAAGGAAACCTTGGGAAACTGGCCAGGGGCTTACATTGTTCAGAGGTGAAGGGAATGCAAAACACTTGGAAACTTTTGGAAAGAAAAAACCTCTTTATCCAGATACTTTGCACCTCCTGCTCTCCTGCTCACACCATTCCCCCCTACCTCCGGTGCACAAGTCTTCTTACAGAGGTGCTTCAGATGACTCAGCTTCCTTAGGTGAGAAATGGGTCATTTTCCTTTTGGAAACTATGAAATTTGTATCAAATGCTTGAGACATTTTTAGCAGCTCGGTGGTGGTGTGCCCTGGGGAGGTGAGCTTTTCTACCTTTGTCTCGAATGAGGGAAAGTTCCTGTTTTGGTTGATCCCACAGAGATGCTACAGCTGTGGTTTCTGTGTCTCTCATGACTGATCTGTCTGGCTGGAGGACTGTGTTAGACCCTGAAAACAATCATGTTACCTGGACTGGAGTGATTAGAATGGCGTGCAGCCCCATCAAAGATAGTGCACGCTTGGAGGTGGGTCCATATAGAGCCCCACCAAGTTCCATTTTGGGGGCAAAATTGTCAGCCAAGAACTACATTCTTTAACTTCTATCCTGGGATCATTTACTCTGCGGGGTGGGGGATGCTACCCAGAAATATGCTTAGCAGGAAGAGGAAACCTGCATCTCTTTTTGGAGAAGATTTGCCCCAGAGGATTGGGCCACATTGGCTCCTGGTAATGGGTGAATTTTTCTTTGTACTCAGATATTATCACTCTCCCAGAATCATGCTGGTATTGATTAGCATTTTGGATATATTTTGTTAACTTATTTGAAGAATAAGTTATAAAGTATCATTAATCTTATGTAGACATTAGCTGAAGAGTAAAATAAATCTCAATGAATTAATCCAAGAAACAGATTAACTACAGCTTTGTCTGTGAAGAACAAATTCACTTTATGGGGAAGAATGTATTTTTAATTATCAGGGATCCTGTGGAATTAAACCTGTCACTTTATGAGTTTTTTTTTTAATTGTACTATATTTTAGGAAACGTGAGTTTTTAACATTTAGAGATATAAAAATAGTTAAAAGACTTGAATTTTTTTAAATGTTTAGTATTTTATATACATTGTTTTCCAAAGAACAGTGCAATTTCAGAGATGCTTTGTATATAAGCTTGTTTCCTAACAATTTTCAACCTTTTTCATACTGTGGATGGAGGGGAAAAAATAAATCTGCATTTGTACAGTGCTAATGTGTCTCCTTTGTATTATTTACTTACAAATGACTTTAAATCATTGTATCCCTTGATCGATGTTATCTTGGCTGTTTGGGCATTAGTTTTGTTCCTAGCTCTGGGGTTCTGGGCTGAGACTGGGGCATCGCTGGTAAACTAACTCACCAGGCTCAGGTGGAGACCTGTACTGCCCTAACCTTCTCACTCCAGGGGCTGAGTTTCCTCTTCCCCCACCGTGATGGGAAGGTGTGTGTTTATTTTTGTTTTATTTTATTTTTTCACGTCAGAAGGGTAATGTGCTGACGTCGTAACAGGGTTTAAGAGAGGCACATTTCACACAGCTGTGGGAACACCCAATCATCATGCTTATGAACCGGAAAAGGATCAGGTGTGTGTTTATTTTAAGCCTGGTGGAGTCTCACTATTTCCTTACCTGTGCAGCTCTCTGATACCGTTAACTTCAGGTTTTCAGGCCTAGTCTCCCAACCAGGAATGGATCCCAGGCTGCAGTGGCAGCTCTGTCCCAGCCACTAGACCACCACGGACGGGTTGGTGTCTCACGAAGCCGCAGCAGGAACTTAGCTCATGCTCAGGCAAGCAAGCGAAAAGAAGCAGACTTGTTTAGAGAAAGAAAAGGTATATTGAGGAGAAAAGGAACAGAAATAAAGTGGGACTCCCAGGAAGGTGGAACCAGGCCAGGGAGGGGCAAGGAAGCCAAAATGCAGTGGTGTCTAAGGGAATATACACCTTCTTTGCCTAATTATTCTAAATTCCCATCAGTCTCTCTGTGATTGGTTAGTTCTCAGTGGTCTCACTTACTCTGCCTTAGTGTTTTTGTGCCCAGAATTAAATCTCTGTGTCCCAGCCCTTATTTTAGAGTCCTTTTTCTTTATCATCCTTGTTTCATAAGGTCTTGTTGCTCCTAATCCTGGGGTGTTTGATGAGCCCCCTGTGAAGTTACCCTCATCTCTCAAGCCCTTCTTATTCCTCTGAGGCTTTTTCTATTCTATTCTGATCCTAGGAGCTTTCCGCTTGCCCTATGACTCATCTCTAATGGGATTTATGTACATTTGGGACTCATTTTTTTGTTATTTTGTTGTATTGCTTTAGAGGAGAAATTCTCCCCTGCATTTTCACCTGGAAGTACGTTTTTACTCCATCTTCTAACTAGGCCTCTATGTTGACTGATTTCTAAGTATGTTCTCACAGGATGTGTACTAATACTTTATGTTTAAATGTATTTACTTTAAAAAGGAAGCTCATGATAGTTGGCAAGAAAGAGTAATTAACCTGATCTATGTTAACAAAGATGAATTTGTTAATGTTTTTAGCTAAATTTCTCTCCTGTAAAGAACTTTTTATAGAAAGACTAATACACTTATCTCTTCCCCTTGAAGAAGTACCTTGGTTCATAGGTAAAGGCCCTAATTGACTTCTTTCTTCCCCTTGTCCTAGCCAAAATATTCAAGATGGCATCTAAAGCCCCTTGGATGAGTTACTGAGACTCACATATGTATACAGAAAATGTATATGGAATTAAGTCTCTCTGATTTTTTTCTTGCCTTTATCAATCTAGCTAATGCTTGTTTAGTTATTCACCAGCCAGTGAAGAACCCTGGTGTATGGGATAAATTCCTTTACAACCCAATAAGTTAAAATTCCTGCCCTAAGAAAAACTAAAGCTACAATCGGTATCTCTATCTTAAATCTATTCTTATCATTTTTTAAAAGATTTATTTATTTATGCATGCAAGAACTGGGGTTCAGGCCAGAGGTATGGGGGTGAGAGGATTCACCAGAGACAGAGGGGAACAGAACAGGCAGAGGTAATGAAATACACTGCTGAGGGGAGCAGCAGGTGAGTCAGGAGAGGTCTGCTGCTCCATGTGGGTCACCTTGCTGGCCGGGGATTGAACTCGTGCTGCAGTGGCTGTGGATAGCTTCATAGTGCTGTGCCTTAACCCCTTGCGCCATCAGGAAGGCCCTTATCATTATTTAAATGGTGGCCAAATCTCTTATAAAACTAAGGTTTTACTAAGATTAATAAGGAAAATTTGTTGATTAAAGTCACTATTTAAAATTACTGAGATTTCAGGTTCACTTTTTGCTTCTTATTGTAAGGAAACTAAAATTTAATGTCATATCACCCAAAGAAAATTGAAGCATGTGTTTACATGTGAGTCATCCAGTCCAAAGGAATGACAGTGATGGGGTTCAGATGGTAGGGTTTTGTGCATGGGGTTCTTGGGTCCCTCTGAGAAAGAATCCAGCAGATGTTCCCATTCATCAACACATGGCAAGTTTATAGAGGAAAGGAGAGCAAGGAAAGAGATAGGCCTGCATACACAGAGGTGGGCAGTCTTAAAAGGCAAGAGCTGCATTTTGCCAGGGCAAGGAGTGTTCTTTTAAAATGTTCTTTGATGGAATTATTGTGGAAAGTACCCTTTTGGGGTCAGATTGAGTTGATTTTCTAAGACTGATAATCCTCTCTGCCCCTAGCTCTGGCTGACATTCTTTTCTGACCCCACCTTAGATTCCTGGAAACTTCCATAGGCAGGTTTAGTCCAAGATTCATTAATGATCTGTACCCCCATCTCTGGTATCTGTCCTTGTGAGACCGTCCATCCTAAAATTTTCTACTCTCAGATTCCATCAGTAGCATAATAGCTATTACAATGTCTTACAATCTAGAGATTAAAAACTAGGATATAATAACTGAATACAAGTAAAGTGAGGTGTGTGTTGAAAAACAAAAATGTATTTAAAATGAATATCTTAAAAGTCTGGGAAAGAATTTAGTGTTGAAATAAAATGGTTATCTTATAAAAATAGAAAAGCAAAGTATGAAAAGAGGGTATCTTAGGGAAAGAAATTTTATGTGCTTGAATGACTTACTATAATAATATTTAAGTTTAATATCAGTAGTGCCCTTATATAAAATCAAACTTTAGTTATTTTTGCCTGTGAAAAATTAAAGTATTTTAAAATTTCTTTCTCTAGGTTTTCATAGCAAATTAAAGACTTTAGGTAATCTGAAAATTTTGATGTTCTTTTACCCTTAGGTTAACTGAGAGAAATATTCTGTCAGCATTGCTGAGCCTTGTCAAAGAAATAGATCTATTCTTAAAAATCTTTGTCACTCTGGGTAATTAAGCATTTTATAAAAATCTGTATGTTTGTTAATCCTATGATAACTTCCCTGATATCACACATTCTAAAATATTAATGTCTTTGTCTTAAAAGGACTCCTAAAACAGCCGATAAAAGTGTTTTCATTAAGTTACTCAGAGAACCCTAACGTCCTGCATTATTTCAGGCTAGATTTGCTGAGGCTATGCAAAAGTATTCTAATCTAGACCCAGAAAGTGTAGACGGACAAGCTATTCCAGTGATGTACTTCATTAGCCACTCTTGCCCTGCCATCAGGTGTAAGCTCCAGACTCTGGATCAGGGCCTCAGACTCCTTCTGTCCACACTTTTGGCTGTGGCCTTCAAGGTCTACAGTAACAGGGAAGAGAATAGCCAGTCTGGGGAAAAAAAAAAGGGAGGGGGGAGGTTAAGAGAAAGGTTCATATATGGCAGCTGCCACTGCCAGCGCCCAGCCACCTCAGAGTCACCCAAGACCCCATGTACCCCCATGGCATTTGGACCTCAACCTCATAAAGGTCCACCAGCTTGCTTCCACTGCCAGCAACAGGGACACCTCAGCCGTGAGTGTTGGAAGAAGCTGCCCCCTCAGGACTATGCCCTCTGCGCCACTGGACCAGGCACTGGAAGAGGGACTGTTCCACTCTCCAAGAGAGGGAGGCAGCCAGCCCAAAGCACAGGCCAAGATGACTGTCAGCTGCCTCTGACTATGAAGAACCCAGGGCAGGAAAAGAAAACCTCCTTTTCTGAAGAAGCCCAGAGGTGGGACAGGTTCCCCTATTTACCATCTCTCTGGAAAAGTCTAAGGTGATCCTAAAAGTGGCAGAGGAAGAGATCACCTTCTTGGTGATACAAGGGCCACTTACTCTGCCTTGCTCCAATTCTCAGGAATGACTTACTGGTCGAATGTCCTCCTCACTGATAAGCCAGGATGCTTTATAGCTTTGCTACCAAGCTTACTACAAGGTCAAATGTTTACACATTTTTTTTTTAAATCTTGCCTTCCTGCCCCATTCATGTTAGGACAGGACACCATGACCAAACTCGAAGCCAGTTTCCAATTCGCAGACAGAAACCCTGGGATGTACTGATTTCGCCATTTTGGCCACAGTTCCTCCAGGCATCTGGGACACTACAATGCCAGGCCGAGCTCTCTTTCTCACCCCTGTTACTGTGATATTAAAGGACCCTCATATCTTCCCGATGGAACCGTAATATCTCCTCAAGTCAAAAGTCTGAAGGGGATTATAACCTCTTATACAAAATTTCTTCCAGTTGGGTCTTTTAAGACCCTGCATTCATGAACTTTATATTTAGTTTCCTTTTGTTTACAGACAGTCAAACTATAGCTTCCAGTCAGAGTAAAGGTCATGGAGTTACAAGACTTAAGACACAAACGGCTGCAGAATACAGGGACCTAGACACTTGGGCAGCCCATTTTGGAAAACCAGCACCACGTGCAGCCCTTCAAAACAACATGTAACAGCTAAAATTGACCAAAATGTGGTCAAAAGTGTGGCCACTTCATTCTATTTCACACCCTATTTCCTCTGTCCTGAGACGACAGTAAGCTAGGTAGGCCAGGGCTCTGCCCCAAAATTCAGCCTGAAGAAGCTACAGAAGAAGCTAGACCGACACCCATCTCTAAAGATTTGTCATGGTCCTCTCTGGAGAGGGCAAAATATCAGGGAATCATTTCATGCTGTTATAACTAAGCCCCCACCTCTTGCCCAGCAGGAAGTTTGGGGAGGCTTGAATAGAAAAAGGGAATTGATAAGCTTCCTATGGGAACCTGATCACTTTGACCCTGAACGCAGAAGCAGGGCCAGGACACATTCTGTGTCCAAGGTCAATGCCCAAGA